CTCTCTCTCTCTCTCTCTCTCTCTCTCTCTCTCTCTCTCTCTCTCTCTCTCTCTCTCTCTCTCTCTCTCTCTCTCTCTCTCTCCGCTCTGTCTTGTCCACCCCGGGTTCACCAGGTCACCTTGCATACCACTCTCGTGCATCTGCGGCACTACTTCCGCCGCCATCTCCGTGCGCCCTGCCACTTTCGTTTTCCTTGTTGGCCACGTCCGTCCGGGTCCCCAATGTCACCGATTTTCCCGGCGTCGCTCGCCATTGCCATTTCTGTACCACGCAATTTCCATGGTTGAAGCAGATGCTGGTTCTTGCTGGGTGGTTGGGGTCGCCACTGGACGATGTGTGCGTGAGGAAGGAAAGGGAGCCGTCTTGCCCTGCCCCGCGAGTCTGTTCAGCCACGGTAGGGCGGGCGACAAAGGGCGCTCAGTGAGGCCAGGCCAGGCCAGGCCATGTCGGGTCTGGGGGATGAGGGAGAGTCTGGGGTCGATTCGGACTAGTCGTCGTTCCCCTCTTCCGCCCCTGCCGTGGTGGTGGATGGGGCGCCGGCCAGAGTCCTGCGGACCATTTCCTGGAGCGCCGTTGGATCCTGTGCGAATTCCGAGGTGCGTACGGCGATGGCGTACATGACTGGTCGGTGGTCGTCCGTGGCCGAAAGAGGGAAGGAGGGGGAAGGAGGGTAGAATGGGAGGATGGGAGGATGGGAGGACGGGAGGACGGGCACAAAAGAGGGAGGTGAGTGAGCAAGGCAAAGCGCCTGGGATATCGACCGTCGATAGGTGAAAGGAGGAGACCACGATGGTGCAACGGCCACTCACCATCCTCGACCTTGCGCACGCTCTGGTTGGTGACGGTCTGCTTCTTCTTCATATCGCGGATAAAGGGGACAAAGGGGTCGAGGCCATCGCGGATGGAGCGGAGCAGGGCGAGGATGCCGTCGACGTAGGTGCGCGGTGCGCCCTGCCCGACGGCGTTGGTGGCGAGCCGCATCAGCTCGCCCGTCAGGTCCGACAGACCCAGCAGGTACCGCTCGACGGGGATGCGTAGCGTCTCCCCGAACCGCGCCTGTACCTCTGGCAGTGTGATGAGGGTATCGTGTCGCAGGAAGTGGTGGAATGATAGGGCTTCGATCTGCGTTTCGAAAGGGGTGGGGCGGACTGGGAGGTCAGTCGGGGTCCGGGGACCCCATGGCATGCCGATCGGGAGGGCTGGAGGAAACGTACGAATTCCTCGATGCCACCACCGAGGTTCCTCTCGTAGCGATACCCGCGCCCATCGTCGGCAGCGTCGGTGCCCAGACCCTCGTGCTCCGCTAGTTGCTTGAGGAGGGTGACGATCTCGTCGACCTTTGTCTCGGCCTGCGAAAACAGTTTGGCGTTTTTGGCGGTCCGTGCCGCCGCCGCCGCCTCGTCGTCGTCGTCATTTTTGTTGGCGGCGGCCGGTGCAGAGGGGAACGAGTATCGGTGTAGGTGGAAGATGAGTTTCTTGGAGAGGGAAGTGACGTCGCGGGATGCCTTGATGAGGCGGTCGCGTCGGTCGTTCTGTTGGAGTGGCGCGGGGAGAAGAGGGCAGGGCAGGCGAGGTCAGCCAACAAGGGGGCGAGGGGGGCCGAGGGCAGAGCGAGGGCGCCGTGCGACGGGTCGACGTACATGGTGGTCTATCTCGTCGCGGAAGAGGGTAAAGATGGACTCGACGTTGCCTGCATCTTGGTGGTGGGCGTCGCCGTTGTCGCGGGGAGCCTCTGTCGAGGAGCGTGTGCGTTTTGGCGCGGCGGGCCGGAGGGTGGTCGAGGAGCCGCGCCGTTTGAGGTCGCCGCTGTGCTGCTGCGTCGTCGATGTCGATGTCGTGGGTGTTGCCCCTGCTGCTGCTGCTGATGTTGTCGTCGAGTCGGACATGGTGATGCGATGGGCGTGTGGACGCCAGAGTGGGCAGTGGCGGTGGTGGTGGTACGGTGGTGTCTGGGAGTGGGGCCGAGACAAAGAAGAAGAAGCAGGCAGGCAAAGGCGGTCCGGATTCTGGTCAACCTCCACTTTGGTGTTTGCCCCCCTTCGGAGCCGGAGAGAGAGAAAGAGCGGGCAGAGAGAGAGAGAGAGGAGGACAGCGGTGGCGCACGCAGCCAGCCACCAGGGCCGCACCCACAAAGGGACCGCCGCCGCCGCCTTGCCGCTGTGCCGCCTTAACTTCTCTTTGCTTCTGCCGCCTAATTTTTGACCCTGTCACGGGCCCACTCACTCGCACTCGCACTCGCCAACCGCCTCGGCCCTCGCTCTGTCTCTCTCTCTCTCCGCCCTTCACTTCTCGCCACCACCTGCAACTGCATCACCCACTTCCTTCTCAACCCCCCTATCCCTCCTCTCCTCGCTCACCACTGGCCAACATGATCGGCGCCGCCACCCGAAGCCTCGCTCGCAACACGGCCCGCCTGGTCCAGCCTCTGGCATCCACCTCGCGTCTCGCCGCCGCCTCGCCCGCACCTCTGGCCCGCGCCGCCCTCGTCGCCCCGACCCTGCGCAACTTCGGCACCACCCGCCCCCTCCTCGGCGCGGGAGAGAGCGACGTCGAGCTCTCGTCGCGCCTCGCCCACGAAATCGCCTTTGAAAAGGAAAACAACGCCTCGGTCCTGCCCGCCCCCGACGCAGAGCCCGAGTTTGTCACCAAGTTCAAGCAGACGGGCATCTGGAAGATTGACGACAAGCCGGGCATGGACGAAATCATCCTCTCGCGCGAATTCGGCAACGAGCACATCCGCATCCTCGTCAGCATCGGCGACATCGACACCACCTCGGCCGACCCCACCGACCTCGACGCCCACGACGGCCAGGACGGCGCCGCACCCCACGACGGCGTCGACCCGGACCACCCCGAAGACGACCCCTCGAGCGTCGCCGCCTTCCCCGTCAGGATGGCCATCACCATCTCCAAGCCCAACCGCGGCGCAATGACCTTTGAGGCCGTCGCCGCCGACGGCGAAATGAGCATCGACAACATCACCTTCCTCCGCGACAACAAAATGGCAGAGGACCTCACCGTAGAGGCAGACTGGGCCAGGCGCGGCGTCTACGTCGGTCCCCAGGTGGGTGTCCTTCTTCCCTCTCCCCTTCTTTTGTGTCCGCACGGCCAAGCACGTTGTGGTCTCCTCCGGTCTCCTCCCCGCGTCCTCGCCCAAGGCTGACCGGCCCCATTTCTCCACTCTTCCCCTCCCCCACCCCTTTTCGCAGTTCGACACCCTTGACGAGGGCGTGCAGGAGCAGTTTGAAAACTTCCTCGTCGAGCGCGGCATCGACCAGGACCTGGCCCTCTTTATCCCCAACTTTGCAGAGTACAAGGAGCAGAAGGGTGAGTTCCGTGGCGGCGCCGTCCCCGGTCTTGGTGGTCCGAGTGGTCTCTCCCTGACCTGTTTGCCTGTTTCTTCTCCCCGCACTGTCCCGCGGTAGAGTACTGCCAATGGCTCGAAAACGTCAAGGACTTCGTCGACGCCTAAATGGCGACCGCATCTCGTCGTCGTCGTATGTCGGCCTACTTCATCGCCATATCGTATCGGAGGACGAGAGAGAGAGAGGGAGAGAGGGAGAAGAAGGAAAAAACAATCCAGCCCACGTCGCATTCCACCACCGCTCCCCCCTCTTTTCGTCCGTGCCTGCGTGTGTGCCTGCGGGCGTTCATGCTGGATTGTGCAATGGAACCGACCCGACCCGATCCGAAGCGACTAGGGAAGACGGAAAAAGCGCTCCTCGTCGACCTTGAACGTCGTCCATCCCTTTGCCTCTTCCTCGCCGAGGTCGTGGTCGCAGTCGCGCGGGAGGAGTTGGACCTCAACCTGGCGCGTCCGGACCCAGTGTTGGCCCACGACGATACGAACGCGGTATCCGACCAGATCCGCATCCGCCATCTTGCTGCCCAACGTCGATGGCCGATCATCCAGCACTATCTCCTCTGCCGCATCGCCACCCGCTCCCTCGACGTCGTCGGACCACCTCCCTTCCGACCTTGCCGCTGTGGATGACCAAGACGAGGCGGTGTCGACCTGCGTCGTTGCTTCACCAGACGACGAGGAGGATGCGGGATCGACAAGACGTCGTACCGTCTCCTCGACATCGACATCCCACTCCCTCGCCCGGCTGATGACGGCGCGACAGAGCCGGACCGCCATTTCCTCCTTTCCTCCCTTCTTGTCGGATATCAGCACCGCCGCCGTGTACGGACACACCGAGCGGGGCCATACGAACCCGGCTCGCGTCCTCTTGCCACTCTCGCTCGTCGATGTCGAAGAGGAAGGGGAGGAGGGGGGAGGGGGGAGGAGGGGGGAGGGGGGAGGAGGGGGGAGGGGGAGGAGGAGGAGAGGGCGTCAAACGATGCCTTGGCGCGCTGCGCCAGCGCTCCGAAGATGCGCGAGACGCCGATACCGTAACACCCCATCTGGAACGCCCGTCGTCTCCCGTCCTTGAGCAACTCCACCCCCCCACCGGCGGCGTCGTTGTTGGGCGGCGTCGACTTGGGCGTGAAGCCGACCTGGAGCGCCTGCGAGTACTTGGTGCCGAGCAGGAACGTGTGCCCCACCTCGATGGCTTTCGTCGTCCGCAGCGTGTCCGGGTGGCGGCAGCTCGGACACGTATCCCCCTCCTCGGCCACGCGCAGATCGACCATGATCGTCGGTGGCGCCGTCGGCTGTGCTGGTGGGAACTGGTGCGGGAAAAGGGCCGAGAGGTCTGCAGTTGTTGTCGATCCGGCCTCGTCGTTGTTGCTGCTCGACGACGCCGGAGAGGCAAACGAGAGCAGGCTCGAGACGAGCGCCTCTTGCACCTGGTCCGGCTCCATGCCCACGCACTCAAAGTCGGACAGCACCTCGATCTTGTCAAACCGGACAAGCGGACCTTCGGGCCGCTCCTTCCAGTCCCACGTGGTCGTCGCTGTCGCCTCTCGCTGCGAGTCGTAGAGCAGCTCGAGCCGGTCGCCGCCGTCGCCGCCATCGCCCCTCTGCTTCTGTAGCGCGGCGACGTGCTTGGCGAGCTTGACTTCGTTGAGCTGGCGCGAGGCGGAGACGAGCATGGCGACCAGGACCTGCGAGTGCGCCTCGACGGCCCTGGTGCCAAAGAGGAGCACGCGGACCTCGTGCGCCAGCGACGGCATGCGCGCCGGCGAGGGCAGGCTGGCGGCCTTTTCCGAGTTGGCCACGTAGCTGCAGCGGCGGCACGAGAGGAGCGTGTCTTCGCCGGCGCCGTCCTCGATGTGGTACTCGTGGGAGCGGCTGCCGCCAATGGCGCCCGTGTCGGCCTCTGCGCTCTTCCAGCCGCGCGCGCCAAAGATGCGGTCAAAGATGCGCGTGTAGGCGCCCCGCACCGCATCGTACGTCGCCGAGGCCGAGGCCAGGTCGGCGTCAAACGTGTACAGGTCCTTCATGAGGAACTCGCGCGTCCGCAGCAGGCCCATGCGCGGTCGCGGCTCGTCGCGGTGCTTGCGGGCTTCCGGTGCAAACGCAAATGGAGGAGGAGAGATGAAATCAGCTTTGATCGTCTTTGCGGCCTGATCGACGCTGGCACGCGGCGGCTACCCACTGATCTGAAACACGCGGACGGGCAGGGCGGCCTCGCTCTCGACCTCGTTTGCGACGAGCCTGGTGACCTCCTCCTCGTGGGTGGGTGCGAGGACAAACTCGGCGTCCTTGCGGTCCTTGACCTTGTAGAGCTCGGAGCCCATGATTTGGAAGCGGCCCGTCTTTCTCCAGAGGGCCGACGAGAGGAGGGTGGGCATGGCGAGGTGGGATGCGCCGATGGCGAGCATCTCGTCGCGGATGACGGCCTCGATCTTGGATACCATGCGGAGGCCATTTGGGAGGAGCGTGTAGACGCCCGAGGACGACTGGCGGATGTAGCCGCCGCGAAGGAGGAGCGAAAGGCTGGCCAGGTCGACGTCCGGAGCCACCGACTCGGCCCGCAACGTCGGCACGAACTGCGACGACAACCGCAGCGGATACCGGCTCGGCCGCGCAGTAGCAGTAGCGACAGCGGCGGTGGCAGTGGCAGTGCTAGGAGTGGGGCTGGACCCCGGGTGGGCCGGTACGGAAAAGGCCGAAGACGACGACGACGATGACGATGACAGGCAGCGCATCCCTCGAGGCCGGAAGAGGGCCGAGGCGGGTAGCGGTCGGACCTGCCGGGTGGCTGCGGCGGCGGCGGCGGCCTTTCTCCTGGCGGCCATCAAGGCGTTGCCGTCCAGCGCCATCGTCGCGAGCCAGAGATGATGATTGACTGTGTGAGGATGGCAGAGCAGCGGTGGCAGCAGGCGGGGTCAACGCGCAACCGCGTCGAGAAGAAAGACGGCCAGGCCAGGCCCCTGGCCATCCCATTCCAGCCTGGTTCAGGGTCCAGTCGGGCAGACTGCGGATCCGAAAGCCAAACGAAGACGCAGTAGTCGGCGCAGGCCGGATGGGACCGTCGGGCGCCTTTAGGTAAGCCGACCGGCTCCGGCTAGGCTGGCGAACCGACAAGCGGCGCCCTGCTGGCCCCTCTGAAAGCCAAAGCCAGGAGGGGCCGACAAGCGGGGGCAGACGGCGCGCGCTTCGAGTGGATCGGTAAAGCCGACTCGGACCTCGACGGCGGCCGCTGGCGGGCCTGGCTGACCGACCTGGCTGACCGACCTGAGCCAGACCTGCTTGCTGGCTGACCCGGCCCCCTGCCCTCTGCCGTTCACGAGCAAAGTGACGGACGCTGCTGGCCGGCAGGCAGCAGTCTGCCCCCTCGTTGGCTTGGCTGGGTGCGATTCGGTGTGCGCCCGGCTGCAGCAAGCCTTCCGGTGCCCCGCGTAAACTTGGGCGCCCACGACGTCGACGGCAGCAGCCACACGCTCCTCCGGCTTGTCCCCTCTTCCTCTGGCCGGCAGGTTGGCCGCCTCCCTCCTTAAACAACCAAGCTCGCCCTCCCCTTTCCTTCTCCTCATCACCACCACCACCAACCCCTCCCATCTGCACCACCCCTCGTCGGCCCTCGTCACCCGCAACCACCATGTCTCTCCGCGCACCCGCCGCCCGCCTTCTCCGGTCCCAGGCCTCCGCCTCGGCCTCGCGTGCC